TATGAAACCAACCCAAGTGGCATATCTCCGTGAACAAAGAGATTACTCTGCAACATCAGCTATGCTCTGTGGCTGTGATAAAACACCATGACCAAGGAAACTCATAAAAGAAAGGGTTTATTTGGGCTTATGGCTCCAGAGGGCTAAGACCCCATAATGGCTGACACAGGGCAGCAGAGAGGCGGCCGCTGGGACTCACAGGTCTAACTACAAGCGGAATGCAGAGAGGGTAAACTAGAAATGGTTTTAACCTCTCAAAGTCTGGCCCCACCAGACATACCTCCTCCAGCAAGGCCATACCTCCTACGCCTCTCAGATGGCGCCATCAAATATATTCACTCAAGGCTATGGGACACATGCCCTTCAAACCGCAACACCAGACATGGTAGTCCAGCCCCGGCTACATAAAACCATGTCGCGAAAACGGCGGAGAATACTAACAAAAACAGGAAACAGGTTTCTAATGAAAGATTTGTACCCAAAATCTATAAGAAAGCTTTCCACCTGATAGTTTATTTTAGTGTGTGTGTGTGTGTGTGTGTGTGTGTGTGTGTGATACCCATGCCAAGGTGTTCGCATGCAGGTCAGAGGGCACTTGAAAGAGTTACTTCTCTCTCCTTCTATCCCATGGGACCTGGGCTTGGAATTCAGGACCCCGTTTAACAGCAGGTGTTTTTTACCTGATGAACCATCTCACACAAACAAATTTTTAAAAAAAACGTAATTTAAAACATCTTTATAGCTGGGTGGTGGTGGCGGCACACACCTTTAATCCTGGCACTTGGGAGGCAGAGGCCAGCCTGGTCTACAAGAGCTAGTTCCAGGACAGCTAGAGTTGTTACACAGAAAAACCCTGTCTCGGAAAAAAACAAAACAAAACAAACAAAAAAAAAAAAAACAAAAAAAAACCAACCAGCTTAAAAAAACCTTTCTTAATTAAAGACCTACAGAAATAGTTCAATGTCAGGCTGGATAACTTAATAAAACTTGCTTCCAGAAACAAAGTTTTTAAAAAAGGACTGGGATGCAGTTCAGTGGTAGCCAAGACCTCAGACATTTGCCCAGCGTGTCCTGGCTCACTTCCTGAGTGTTGGGACTACAGGACATAGGTAATTGGGATGTTCCACGTAGTCCTGGCATTTGAACACTCGGTCCTAAGTGGGTGGTGCTCTTTGAGATGAATCAGCAGTTAGGAGCACATCCTGCTTTTTCAGAAGACCAAAGTTTGTTTTCCAATACCCTTGCTTCCTAGCTCACAATCTCCCATCCAGTGCCTTCTTCCAGACTCTTCTGGTACCTGTATGCACACACACGAACACACAGATACATATGCATACACAAAAACCAACAAAATAAATATTTTTTCTCAAAATACTAATGTAGCAAGTCATAGTGATTCATATCTGTAATTTCAGCACTCAGAAGACTTAACTTAGGGCAGCCTGAGCTATATAGTGCTGGGCTATCCTTAGCTACAAAGGGAGGCTGGAGGAGGAGTCTTCAGCTATGCATGGCTTCTGAGATCAGCCTGAACTACAGGCTGTGCTACCCCTGTAAAGGGGCCTAAACAACAGCTACCTGCATGCCCCAAGACCTGGATTCCATCCCAACATGACAAACAGAAAACAGAAAGGGGAAAGGAATCCAGGCATGGCGGTGCATGCCTGAAATCCCAGCAATCAGGAAGGGTTAGTGGGAATATCTGTCGTTCACTCGTTCAAAGTCTTTTTGCGAGCATTGACACCACAGGGCTGGTTTGTGGGATTTGGGACCCCGAGGACAGGCGAAGGAAGAGAAGAGAACTCTCTGGAAGGCAATGCTGCAACTCTGCCACCCCAGGCTTCTGCCCTTTTCCCTGCGTGGTCACTGCTTGTTCTCTGAGCAAATATGCAGCCTGTCTTGGAACACAAAACAGTGCATTTCCTGGGAGGTCATTCTCACTAAGAACCCCCAATGGCATGGACATCAGGCGCCATCCGGGTCCACGGCCCACAGACGCTGGCTAGCTACACATGGGAAGGCCCAGCCCCCTTCATTCTCAGCTCCAGTCTGTTTATGTCTTTTGATATGAGGAACTCGGAGCTGAATGGTCAAGAGGCAGAGGCACTTTATTCAGGGTTCTTGTTTTGGGGCAGACACTCGGGTCTGGAGCTGAGCTCAGCACAGCATGGCCTGTGGGAACCAACAGCCCATGGCAGCAGCTCAGGGAAATCTGCTACAGTAACCTAGTAGGATGCAAGCCAAAGGCAGACCAGGGTAGGGGAAAGTGGCTAAGAGAGGTGGAATCTGAGGAGTCTGTGCTCCAACAGACTTCAGGCTCATTGCTGAAACTGGGCATTGTGGTGCACACCTTTAATCCCAGCACTTGCAAGAAAGAGGCAGGTGGGTCTCTGTGAGTTTGAGGCCGGCCTGGTCTACAGAGAGTTCCATGACAGTCAGGGCTACACAGGGCTACCTTGCCTCCAGAAACTAAAACCAAACCCAAATTGATTATAATTGCATGCATGAGTGTGTGTGTGTGCGTGCATACACACCCCACACACACATACACAAGTGTGCACATACACACACCCGTGCCAGTAGGCATGGTCGGAGGTGTCTTCCTCTATCACTCTCTGCCTTCCTCCCTGTTGGCAGGGTCTCTCTGTGACCTGGGCTCACTGTTTTTTGGCTAGTTTGGTACCCAGCAAGCCCTAGTGAGCCCGTCTCTGTAACCCCGGGTGCACACAACTGGTGCATGTTCAGGGATCCACACGCAGGTGCTCAGCTTACGCTGTATGTACTCTTAATTACTGAGTCTTTCTCCAGCCCCTAAAACTGGATCTCACAAGGATCTCACAAGGAGCCTGATGAAGTGTGACCAAGCAGGCGTCAGTGAGGTACACAAAGCCCACCTGGGGCCAGGCACCCATTGCAGCCAGCTCTGCATTGCCTCTCAGGCACGCTGAAAACTGTCCCTTCCTTCTGCGCCCCCCACCCCCGCCTCCCACTCTGTCCTCAAGAAAACAAGGCCGGAGGGTAAGGTCTCCGAGGATCCCACCAGGAAAGTCCTATATCCACCAGTGAAGACTCCTCCTCAAGGGGCAAGAAGCCGAAGTGAACCAGTGAATCAAGACAGCGGCAACAGAGACGCATTGCTTGCTCCACTGTGTGTGCCCCTGACCCCTGAGGAGCGAGCTGGCGCCCCCAGCTCGAGGCCACATTGTCACAGAGTTCACTGTGCCTCTCACTCTGTCTCATTACCCAGTTCACAGGAGGGCAGCCCTTGGCCATGGTGCTCGGCTTTCCAGTCTGCGCCCCAGGGAGGTGGAAGAGGAATTGAAGGAGGGGCTGTATCTATTCCTCAGCCTTGCACAAGCGGCCCCCACACGGCAGAAGCAAACAGGTCTTTGCCTTCTGGGCATTGCCGGGAGCAAAACAGAGAGGGCGGCTCCGTGCAGAATTTCTGAAATTGGTGTACAGAAGACAGAGAGCCCAAGACCTTTGCTCTTCCTGAGTCCTGTTGCACAGGAGGACTAGGGACCAGATGGGGGTCGTTCTGCGGTGCCTACAGACGGACAGACTCGTACAAAGCAGGAACTGCCTCAGAGGCACTTGAGGGCAGACTGGCTCACCAGTGGAGGACCTATACCTTGGGGCGCAGGACTCAAGGTCCCCTAAAACAGAAATGGAGTCTTGGAAAAGGGTAGTATGTGAATAAAGAATTTATCCAAGGACCAGAGGGGAGGTCTGGGAAGGGGGCCAGTAGGTGACAGAGAAGAGACCAAATGTGTTCCAGAGGAAATAGACACTTGGTGGAGGCTTGGATTCACTGCCAGGTGATCTGCAGGTAAAAGAGATGCAGGAAATGGCGCATGGGTGGGAGACTTGGCCCTCAGTAGTAAGTAGGAGGAGGGACATCTCCACAAAAGCACGAGAAAGGGAGTGCCTGTCCTGAAAGTCACAGCCACACGGAGAACTTTCTAGAAAGCAACATGGCCCTCAGTGTTACAGGATGTGGAGAAGCCAGAGAAGTGGAAGCCCAAAAGCACCCTTGGGAGTTTCTGACCCCAAGGTCACTGGGCAAGAGGGGAGTGCCTGGGTAGATGTGAGCCAAGGCTGTAAAAGGTGGCTCAAGGGCTCACAGGGGTGTGCAACGGACTGGGAGAGAATTTGCAGGGCTGAGTCTAGGGGGTGAAAGATGAACCTGGGGCTCAGAACGTTTGACTCCTCAATAAAGGAGGAAAGGGAAGGGTGGGCAGACTGAGGTCCGGGTCAGGTCAACGGATTGCCAAGTGAGCGGTGCTGGACAGGACGAGTCCGTGAGGTCCACAGGGGATTGTAACCTGGCAAGGGATTAAGAGCCACTCTTAGGGGATCCCCTTGTCTAAAACCTGCAAAGCAGCCCTTATACCTTGACCTTCCCTACCTCCCTGTCCCCCCCCCCTCCGCCTGTGATTGATGCACGTGTAACAACTATAAGAGTTTCACTCAGGAGCCAGATGGGACTTAGGTAAGGGACTTAATCTTCTGGAAAATCAGAACTGCAACCTGAATGAGATGGTGCGACCCCAGGACAGCAGACGTTGCAAGAGAAAGGGTCGCGCTGAGTCACATCCTATATCTTTCCTTAGCGAGCTCAGACCCGCACTGGCCAGGTCAGGATTCACTCGCGGAGGGTCCTGAAGTCCAGGGTGTGCAAGACTGGATCTTCAAGGTCGCTGTACACCAAGCGAGGGTCCTCGAAAGGGACCCGTAGGGTCGGAGTCCGGGTCAGGGCCTGCGCAAGACTCTGTGTGCCAGAGGGGAGGGGAACCGGGTGCGCTGGGTGCACATCCGCAAAGCGAGCGCCACACGGGAGAGACCGTCGGGGTTACACCGGGAGGGTTGAGGGCTCGCAACAGGTCCACTGCGCTAAGGCGCAGGGCGGGGACCCTCGGCTCTCCCCATCCTCTGCCGGCCGCCCCCGCCCCCACCCCCTCCCCCTTCGCCGCCGCCGCCGCCCAACGTTGCCGCCGGAAAGTTTGCTAGCGGCTGGCGCGGAGCCGGCGCCGACCCCGATCGCAGCACGGCGGAGACGAGTGGCTGCCAGCTCCCAGACCTGAGCGAGCTCGAGGACCGCGAGACGCCCAGCCCTAGCCCGAGCGACAGAGCACAGTAAGCACTAGGGTCGGGCCCCTTGGGGACGGTCCCAGGCGGTCTGTGGGGCGCTGGATCACGGGCGTGACCAGGGCGCGCAGAGGAGGATAGTGAGGAGCCGGCCCGCGGGCCTGGATGTGGGCCAGCTGTCCTTGGGGTCCTAGGTGTCGCGGTTCTAGCCCCCGTCGACCACCTCAGTTTCCAGCCCGGGGATAAGTCCTACTGTCTGGACGGTCACCTGATCCCTAACCGTCTGTCAGGTTGGAGATCTCAACCTCTCCTCTCTATCCTCCGGGAGCGCAATCCGGGAGCGGCGAGAGAGTGGGCGCAGGTGTGGGTCCTGCTGCCCCACTGAGCGCCTAATGCACTCCGGGCCCACCGCCCCTCCCCCAATGGCTCTCTCATTCCCTCCGATCGATCCGCTTTCCCTTCCTATGTGTCCCTGATGCCCAGGACTCCGGAACAGTGACCCAATCTTTCTGGGATAAGGTGCGGTGCGTAGGCACCCTAGCTCGAGGGTTTTTCTTCCGCGGCTCACAACCGTTCACTTTGACTCCTCCGAGCGCGGGCCACCGCCCGGTGTTCTGCTCCTGCCTCCCCAGCGACCACCTTCCCACTTCAGACCCATGAAGTTCACCTCTTGGCTCTGGCACTCTCCGAGGATCGACCAGAAATACTTTGCTGTCCTTCTGTCTTGGAGACGTGGGAGGGGGAGTCAGAGCTCACCCTGGCGGGTATCTCAGGGCCTGCCCGCCCCCTTTCGGGGGGGAAGGACTCAGGAATTAGGTTTTGTCAACAGCCTGTGGACCCTGATCCTGTCCCTGTCCTAGGTCTATGACCTGGACTAGTTTTTCTGCTTTGACCAAAACCCTCTTCCAGATACTAACTTTACGGATTTCTCAAAGACTTTGCTACCTCTCCGATTTTGGCTCCTAGGGAACCAAGAGCCTCCCCAGTGATACCTCCCTTGGCCGCTGGGCCATCGGTCTTACCCTCAGCCACCTGCAGAGAAAATCGGTGGCTCACTGGCCACACTGCAAACACCCAGGCGTCCTTTGTCCTGCTGGAGCCGGCTGGGAGCAGTGGTGGCATGGGCCAGTGCCAGTCCAGGTAGCTGGTGTGCATAAGCAAGCTCACGCAGTAAAGACAAGACAGGCTGGCGTCTTAGGAATTGGGTCTTGCATCTTCCATATTTCCCTGACAGTTGGACCTCATGAAGTCTGAGACCTGAGAGGGATTTCAGCTGCCTCGTCCAAGAAGGGAGGGCAGTAGGGTCCCTGGTCCATTGTCTCTTCTCCCCATCTGCTCCTTGTCAAGGAGGGTAATAAGGTGGAAAAAGACCTCAGGTCTGCAGCTCCAGCCACAGGAGCAAAGGTGCTGCATCCACACCTGGCTACCTGGCCCCCCTGGGCTAGAACTGCGCTCTCATTGGGTGAATATTTATCAGCGCTGATGGACTCTGTCTGGGTGTCAGGTTTTACCCCCCACCGTGGGGACAGGAGGCCGGCTGCACAGTATAGGCTGAGCAGTCCTGTCCTACAGATGACAAAGCCCTGGGCCATCCAGTGGTCATTCCCCTTCAGAGACAGGAAAAGCATTCCCTGTTGGTCCTGAACTTCACATTTGCTCTTCCCTGGCTTCAGCATGAGGCCCGGATGCTCTCTGCGGAGACCCCCCCGCGTCTCAGCCTTGAGGGACTGAAAATCAGTCTCCACCTCATGGTGTTCCCTAGCTCACCGTCCAGCGAACCGCCTAGAAACTCCTTGTTATTCCCCTACCACCCACAGAAATCCTGACGGATGGTTTCTGGACCCTTTTTCGCTCACCCTCCACAGTCTGTGAGGGAGGAAATCCTCAAGTTTTCTCAGTCTTATTTATTTCTGGGTTTTTGAAGATAGGATCTCACTATGTAGCTCTGACTGTCCCGGACCTCACTGTGTAGACCAGGCTGGCCTCCAGCTCACAGAGAGCCACCTGCCTCTGCCTCCTGGGTGCTGGGATTAAGGGTGAGCGCCCCTCTGCCCTGCTTCAGTCTCATCTCTATGACCCTCTGGGGTATGGGGGTTTGTCCCTGGGCAAGCTGCGCTGAAGGAAGATCTGGGGATGTGAGGGTCCAGGACAACCCATCCCCCCTTCTTTCGTGGCTCGTTTCTCCAGATGAGCCTCAGCATTCCTTTCCTACAGTCAGCCCAGGGAGGTCAGTAGGCGGGCTTCAAAATTCACATTTTATTTTCTTCCCCCCATCCTTTGCCCCGAGACAGGGTTTTTCTGTGCAGCCCTGGCTGTCCTGGAACTCACTCCGTAGACCAGGCTGGCCTCTGCCTCCCGAGCGCTGGGACTGCAGGCTGCTGAGACCACCCAGCTGTTGAACAGTCATGTTTTCAACCAGGGCTATGGAGGGCGACCTGGGCTCTAAGGACTGATGCCCACCCTTGCAGGGCCTTGGACCAGCATCCTTTCTCCCCGTGCCCCTTTCCTGTATTATTATCCGTCTACTCATGCTGGTCATTCCTTGTTATTCAACCCTGAAGCCTTCCCGTCTCTACCCTTCCTTTTTCAGGGCCACTGGAGGACCCCAGCAGCTCTGAGGTGGGGACCAGACATAGTGGGTAAAGGCCCAGTTTCTGGCTTCTCCATTCTGAGCCCACTAGTGACCTGGACAGTAGATGGACAATTTGATCCAAACCAGGAGAGTGAGGCTACATGGTGACCTGGAGATAGGGACACCTGGACTCCTCTTCAGCCGGTTTGCTGTCTTGTCCTTTGCAGGAACCCTATACTCTGTGGGCATTTATTTTGCCCTGAGGGTCAGGTGCCAGAGGCTTAAAACTCCCGGATGTTGTCTCCTGCTAGATTCTACTGACCAAGAGTGAGGCTCAGGAGTCCTATAGTAGGCTATGAGCCAGGTGTGACTGAAGGGGATCAGAAGTACAGGAGTGGCCAGGCGGTGGTGGTGCACGCCTTTAATCCCAGCACTCGGGAGACAGAGGCAGGTGGATCTCTGTGAGTTCGAGGCCAGCCTGGTCTACAAGAGCTAGTGCCAGGACAGGCTCCAAACCTACACAAAGAAACTCTGTTTCAAAAAACAGAAGAAGAAGAAGAAGAAGAAGAAGAAGAAGAAGAAGAAGAAGAAGAAGAAGAAGAAGAAGAAGAAGAAGAAGAAGAAGAAAAGGAGGAGGAGGAGGAGGAGGAGGGCAGGGCAGAAGTGAAGGAAACCCTATCAAGCTGTTGCTTCTAGAACTCAACTGGGCTTACTATAGCAGACTAAAATCCAGGGGTCCCCTTTCCTGGCACCTGGGATCCCTACAAACCCCTCTACCTTAGCCGTGTCCAAGTTCTTCTCTTCTCCCCTTCATCCTCCTCTCTTCCCCACCTCTGTGGAAGGGGACAGGTCTTGCTATAACATAGACCCGGCTGGCCAAGAACTCACTACATAGTCCAGGCTGGCCAAGAACTCACTATATAGACCAGGCTGCTCTTGAACTTTGGGTGGTTCTCCTGCTTCCACCTCCTAAATGCTAGGACTACAGGTCTGTGCCACCATGTCTGGCTCTGTATTGTATAACCTGTCTGTGGGTTCATAGGAGAGAGGCTCACTGCAGGTCTGGGAAGTTCATAGCGCGACCTCTTACCGGCCCTAAGTAGCTCTTCTCTCTCCCACCATGAAAATCATTGGAGCCAGGAAGGGTTCTGAAGCAGCGTGGGACTGATGTGTGTGGTTGCTACTGCTCAGGACCTGTTATTGGTGCTCCCAGGTCCTACAGGCAGCATTAGGCAGAGGTGTCCCTCATCTGGGCCCTGGCAGTAGCTGTGCTAATCTTAAAGGAATGTGCCGCCAGTTTGGTGCCCCAAGTGACCAAGAGGCCCCAGTCTGAGAGCCTGGTACAAAGTTCACAACATTGTATGGACACATTGGTCCTGGGAAAGGGGACATACAGGTAGCAGAGACCATATGAACACAAGCCCCAACACACGCCTGGCCCCTGGCAGTCCAGGAATGGCTCTGGCACAAGGGCCAAGTGTTGATGGGCCTGGGCACGCTACCCTCACCCTCTTTATCTTCAGGTAGATTGTCTGGCCAGTCAACTTTCCAAGGGTTAAGCATAGGTGTGGAGGTCTAGGCCCAGTCAGGGCAACAGAACGAAGGGAAGAGGTGTTGGGGCCACTCTGAGAGATTTGGGTGGTCAGATAGGAAGGCTGACTACTGTCAGTCTTAGGTAACAGGAAAATAGTTGCACATGGTCATCTGTTTCTGAATTGGCACTGGGAGCTACTCATACATCCCCTCCACAAGCCGCAGCTATCAGGAGGCCTTAGGCTTGGTCTTAGGGGACACGATACTCTAGACTTTCTCCAACTCTCTATTTTTATTCTCTGCAGCCTGAGGAGGGGTGTACACACCCCAAGGACCCAGACGTGCGACCCCTGCCAGATGTGGGGGGTGGCTACCCAAGGGCATGCTTCGCACCCAGCTCCACAGTCCCCACCTGCTGTTGCTGCTGCTGTCATGTCTGGTGAGCGCTGTGCACCCCACACCCCGCACGGAGGGCTGCCTGCTCTGCACAGAAGTGCTGATGGCTCCCTGTTCCATCTGTCTTCCTGGTTGCTGGCCCACCGGTCTCCCAGCCGAAAGCACCCTCTGCCCAGGTGATGGACTTCTTGTTCGAGAAGTGGAAGCTTTACGGTGACCAATGCCACCGCAACCTGAGCCTGTTGCCCCCACCCACCGGTGAGTCCCGCCTACAGACTCCTGGGTCTGTGACCCTGCCTCAGTGCACAGTGCAGGAGACCTTCTTCTGGAAATGTGACAGTAACACTCAATGGCTTTTCCATGCCCAGCCATCTGCCCCCAGATACAGGCCAGACAACTGACCTCCAGAGGCAAGAGGCTTCCCCAAGGCTGCACAGTCAGGAGGCAGTAGGGTTGCAGAGCTGCCTCGTGGCTGGCTTCTTGTTCTGCTGTCTTCTCTGCTGCAGGATGCCCCCTCCTCAGCCATCTGACGCCTCTGCTTTCACTGCTCACAGTGGGCAGACAGTGGATAGGGTCACAGGGTGGGTGATGAGAGAGACTGGGTCCATACCACTGTCCAGTGGTCCACACCACTGAGGGAGATGACCAATACCTGGAGGAGAGGGAGGAGGATGTAGAGCTGCAGTTGGGACTCACTTGGCTTGGGCCTGACCGGAGATCAACATCTGGGAAGGAATGTATCACAAGGAGGAGGGGATGGGCTGGAGAGATGGCTCAGAGGTTAAGAGCATTGCCTACTCTTCCAAAGGTCCTGAGTTCAATTCCCAGCAACCACGTGGTGGCTCACAACCATCTGTAATGGGGTCTGGTGCCCTCTTCTGGCCTGCAGGCATACACACAGACAGAATATTGTATACATAATAAATAAATAAATATAAAAAAAAGGAGGAGGGGAAGTGAGATGTGGGACTCACACAGTGAGAACGGGAAAATTATTCTTGCAAGCTGTCCTACGACCCTATGTGCTTATGTGCACACATGTATGCTTCTGTGTGCATGTACCTGTGTATAACACACACATACACACACACACACTAAAATAAATAAAGAAGAAATTTTAGCTAGGTGGTGGTGGTGGCACACGCCTTTAATCCCAGCACTCGGGAAGCAGAGGCAGGCAGATCTCTGTGAGTTTGAGTCCAGCCTGGTCTACAAGAGCTAGTTCCAGGACAGGCTCCAAACCCTGTCTCGAAAAAGAAAATTAATACTAGTTTTGAAAAAAGGCACAGTTTGGGGCACATTAGAGAGGGGAGATCTGGAAGGAAAGGGACCTTGGCAAACTCAAGCGTTGGTTGGGCTGGAGGGAGAGGCGGGTATGGAGTCCAGAAGGCAAAATAACTGGCCAGCGGCTGTGCCTTGTGTCCCACATCAGGGAGGCAGCCTCTTTGGATGCAGGCTCAATGAAGTGATGGTGGTCTGGGGTGGGGGCTTCTGGTCCTGATCCGAGTCCCTCCTTCACCCTCCTTCATCTTCACAGAGCTAGTTTGTAACAGAACCTTCGACAAGTACTCCTGCTGGCCTGACACCCCACCCAATACCACAGCTAACATCTCCTGCCCCTGGTACCTACCTTGGTACCACAAAGGTAACTATGGAGGCCCCGGGAAGCCTAGGGGATGGAGCATAGGGGTGGGCTGACCCCAGCCTTGCACTCACACCCCAGTGCAGCACCGCCTGGTGTTCAAGAGGTGTGGGCCTGACGGGCAGTGGGTGCGAGGGCCGCGGGGGCAGCCATGGCGCAACGCCTCCCAGTGCCAGATGGACGACGAAGAGATCAAGGTCCAGGTCAGCTCTGGAGGGTTTGGGGTGGTATCCCAGTGGGGCTGAGTGGAGCCGGGGGATGAGGCCTCGCTCAGCCTCTGGTTTGCAGAAGGAAGAGGCCAAGATGTATAGCAGCTACCAGGTGATGTACACTGTGGGCTACAGCCTGTCCCTGGGGGCTCTGCTCCTTGCCCTGGTCATCCTGCTGGGCCTCAGGTATATTCGCTGTTACTCAGCTCACACCCGCTGTGGTGAAGGGGGGCCGAGGGACAGGGCAGGGGTGGTGCTGACTTGCTATCGCACAGGAAGCTGCACTGCACCCGAAACTACATCCACGGGAACCTGTTTGCTTCCTTTGTGCTCAAGGCTGGCTCTGTGCTGGTCATTGATTGGCTGCTCAGGACACGCTACAGCCAGAAGATTGGAGATGACCTCAGCGTGAGCGTCTGGCTCAGCGATGGGGTGAGCTCAGATCTCTGAGTGGTCGCCAGCCTGTGTAGGGTGGTGGGGTGTCATGGCCTCCAACCATGCTTCCCTTTGCTCAGGCGGTGGCTGGCTGCCGAGTGGCCACGGTGATCATGCAGTACGGCATCATAGCCAACTATTGCTGGCTGTTGGTAGAGGGTGTGTACCTGTACAGCCTGCTGAGCCTCGCCACCTTCCAAGAGAAGAGCTTCTTTTCCCTCTACCTGAGCATTGGCTGGGGTGAGTAGGCTTGTGGGGAGAATGGGGAGGCAAGCTAACCGGGGCCCTGGAACCACAGCTGCTGTCCCCACAGGAGCACCCCTGCTGTTTGTCATCCCCTGGGTGGTGGTCAAGTGTCTGTTTGAGAATGTCCAGTGAGTATGAGTTCATAGGATGGGCTGGGGCAGCTGGGGCCGATGGTGCTGGGCTTTGTAAAGTGACCTGGGGGGGATAGGGAGATGGGCATGAGGGCCACACTTTGGCAAGAGATGTAAATCCAGGGTCTGGAGTTGGGGTTCATTAAAGACTCTCTCTTTTCCTTTCTGGGGGCACTCAGTAGATCCCAGCAGATAGGAGTAGGTGCTGGGGCGTTGCATATATCCCCAAGATGTGAGCAACTGGCCCTTGCAGGTGCTGGACCAGCAATGACAACATGGGCTTCTGGTGGATCTTGCGTATCCCTGTCTTCCTGGCCATATTGGTGAGGAAACAAGTTACTTTGTTGCGCTCAGTGGGAAAAGAGTTACTGGCTTGATTCTCCATTCTCGAGGCAAGGAGGAGACCACATTTTACCTAGAGTTTGGAGGGTGGGTAACCCCAGCACTTATCCAAGAGGCTGTATAGCCTGGGCTCTGGGTCCTTGGCTAGATGCCTGCCAGCCCCAGAACCCCGTGTTCAGGGCTCACTTAGCAACAACCTCGCCTGCAGGGGGACACATGAGCACCATGAGAGACACAGGAAGTTCTCAGGCAGTCCCTAACCTTGGTCTCCCTCATACAGATCAATTTCTTCATCTTTGTCCACATCATTCACCTTCTTGTGGCCAAGCTGCATGCCCGGCAGATGCACTACGCTGACTACAAGTTCCGGTGGGCACGGGCAAAACCCGGGGCCCAGGCCAAAGAGGGTTGGGGTTGGGGGCCAGTGCCTTTGTGGGGAGAGCCCAGGAGCCCCGGCAGGGGAGGGCGCTCAAGATCTGCCCCTGCAGGCTAGCCAGGTCCACGCTGACCCTCATCCCTCTGCTGGGGGTCCATGAGGTGGTCTTTGCCTTTGTGACTGACGAGCACGCCCAGGGCACCCTCCGCTCCACCAAGCTCTTTTTTGACCTCTTCTTCAGTTCCTTCCAGGTGAGTCCCCGCCATACCCCCCATGCCTCGGGCCCAGAGTGTTACCTCTGACCTCCCTCTTTCTCCAGGGTCTGCTGGTGGCTGTCCTCTACTGTTTCCTCAACAAGGAGGTAGGTGAGACTGGCTCTAGGATTAGAGCCAAGCGAGAGGCCGGCTATGCCCTAGTATGACCATGCCTTCCTCCCCATTATTATGGTTCATGTGTTGGATGTCAGGTCCCCCCAGGTCCTCAAGGAGTTCAGTGTGTAGGCAATTCCCGCCTTCCCTGGTGACAAACTGCCCTGCTATACCCATTGAGGAGCCTGCCTTGTTTAGGTCTGCTTAGACTGAGGCTGAGCACCTCAGAGTGACCCAGGCAGGACCCTAGCGAGTGATTTGGGATGGCAGAGTGGTCCTACCCACGGTTCTCCTAGGTGCAGGCAGAGCTACTGCGGCGTTGGAGGCGATGGCGAGAAGGCAAAGCCCTTAAGGAGGAACAGATGGCTGGCTGCCGTGGCAACCACACGGCCCCAGCCGAGACTAATCATGGTGAACCCGGTGAGAAACTTCAGCTTGTGAGTGCAGGCAGCCACAATGGGACTGAACCCTCTGTGAAGACCTCCTTTGCCAGCAGTCTCTCAGGGCTGACTGACAGCCCCACCTGAAGCCCCATGGGAGCCCAGCCAGGCTGGATTCAGAAAGGGCCTTAAGGACAGCTCAGAACCAGATGCCTGGCCGAGGCTGGAGAGACAACGCAGCCAGACAACAGCTTGCGCTGTCCACACTCCCTCAGCCTGTCCTGACCCTGGCATAGGCCACACTGATGGAGTGGGGGTTGATATGATGGAGGAGTTATGCTATGAACTGTGGTGTTCCGGTGTGCTGGCATGTCCCATGTGCCCAATGTATGTCCTTCAATAAACAGGTCGAGTAGTAGCTGTTCTGCATATCCTGGACAGCAGGGCTGGAAGCGCCCAGGGAGTGCTGGAGTCTGGGAGGGCTGGAGCCACTGTGCATGGGGACAGGCAGAGAGGGCTAACACAATCCAGGAAACAGTTGTCATCACAGTGGTGCTTTGGGGTGGGGGCTGCTTCCTCCAGGAGCACCCTGAGTCTAAATTGTCCCTTGAGGAAGTGTTTTTGATAAAGGCTCTTGACTCAGCCATGCGAGCAAGCCAGAGCCTTGTTGGGCGGAATGGGACACGTGAAGGACTGAGGTCCACCTCTAGGGTCGTCCCTTGGGTCTGTGCTCTGATGCCTAGCGGAGTTTGAAGACAGGGTGCAGAAGGAGTCAGCCAGGTACCTCTGCTCAAGTTGCTTGTGGTAGAAAATGCAGGACCCTGGGGGAGGGGTGCACACAGCCGGCATCAGGCCACGTGGGCTGTAGTTGCTCAGGCAGAGCCAGGCTAATTGAAACAAATGAAGGGGCAGGAGGCCTCTCAGGGAAGGTAAATAGAATGACTCACCTGCCAGGCCAAGTACTGGGGCCTGAAGGGGCCTAGGAGCAGCCAGGAAGGAGGCAGGAGGCTGACTTGGGAGCACTGGCGCACCTCTGGTCCAGGTGGGTGTTTCAATTACTAGGACTAACTGGTGGGAGACGAAGGGCTGGAAGCCAGCGACGCAGGGCAGGCTGCACCTGCTAGAGACCAGGAGCTTCTGACCTTGCATCTCATCCCAGATCTCCAGGCGAGCTCTAGGTGCCTGGGTGCCTGCTGTGGGCACAGAGCCACTCCAAACCAGCACATGAGTGTGTACACTCTCCTTCACGCCAGTTGAGCTCAGGGTTGGGGACTGCCTTGGGGGATGCAGCTGGCCGAGGGCCTCCTGACAGCCCTCTCCATCCCGAGTCCCTCTGTCCTTGTCCTCCTTCACCCCTGTCCCCATCTCTGTCCCCAAGGGAACTGGGGCAGGCTGGTGCAGGCAGGGAAAGAGGTGGGAACTAGGCAGGTTCACTTAGCCAATGAGTGTGAACCATGGCCAGACAGCTCAAAACAGGATCCATGCAGCATCACTTCTGCTTCTGGGGACCCCATCCCTTCTCCATGGTTCTCTCCCCTCCCTCAGTCTCCCCCCTACCGCTGTAGGAATGTTGGGTGCTGTCCAGCAGAGGGTGTGAGCGTGCCCAGGTATGCCCAGGTGCCTCAGAGGGATGCAGCTATGTGAACATGGAGGAAAAGAAATGCAGCCCTGAGGCTGGCATGTAAATGCTCGATGTTCCAGAGGAATGTGTGAGTGGAGTTGTGTGTGTTTTTAGCAGGCAGGATGATAAATAATTCAAGGCCTGGGGCTTCATAGCAAGTTCAAGATCAGCCTGGGCTACATGAGACTTTTAAACAAACAAACCAAAAAAAAAAAAAAAACCCTGAAGGTGCTTGATGTAGGATTCCCTCTGTATGCTGTGAATACCATTGGTTAATAAAGAAACTGCCTTGGCCTGATAGGGTAAACTTAGTTAGGTGGGGAAAATTAAACTGAATTCTGGGAGAAAGGAGGGCAGAGTCAGAGAGAAGTCATGTAGCCCTACCAGGGACAGATGCTGGGAACTTTACCCGGTCAGCCATAGCCACGTGGCCATACACAGATTACTAGAAATGTGTTAAATTAAGATATAAGAGTTAGTCAATAAGAACCTAGAGCGAATGGGCCCACAGTGTTTTAAATAATACAGTTTCTGTGTGATTATTTCGGGTTGAGCTGCTGGGTGGCCAGGAAACAAACAAGTGGCCTCCCTCAACAATTGGCGCACCAACGTGGTGAACTAAATCCACATAAAACCTGAGGGGGCTTGGAAAGGAATTCTAGACACTAAAAAAAAAAAAAAAAAAAAAAAAGTTTGACGGCATTTTTCCCCCCGAATGGGCTCTGCTTGCTGGTGGCCTGCTGCAGCTCCTTTTAGGGAGATCTGACTGATTCAGCGGTAGCAGAAAAAAAAGCCACACAGTTTTAAAAGTGGTAGCTTCATGGCTCACCAGCACAAATGGCTCTGACTCTTTTTGGAGGTCCAGCTATGGAGCATTTAAATGAGGTTTGTAAACAGAGTGCTACAGCCTTCTTAATGGCAACATAGACTGGCTGTGTGCCTCGAGATGAAGCACTGTGCATGGCTCTGAGAGGCAGCAAACAGCTCCACCATGCTGAAGTGGGCAGGGCAAGCAGGCATTGCTGTATTTCCCCTAGCAATGGCACCACTTAAGTTCATAAGAAGGGCTTAGCATTTTAAGATGCACTTTTGGTCCGACTATAATTTTAAATACACAATAAAGACAAATTCAGATGGAAAAGACCTCTAAATGGGTCACAGGGTTGGATAAATGTACATAGGCTTGGGAGAGAGAAGAAAAAGAATATAGACAGTTATAAAAAGAAGTAAAAAGTTGTTTTTTTTTTTTTTTAAAAAGGTAAAGTCAGGGGGCTGGAGAGATGGCTCAGCAGTTAAGAGCATTGCCTGCTCTTCCAAAGGTCCTGACTTCAATTCCCAGCAACCATATGGTGGCTCACAACCATCTGTAATGAGGTCTGGTGCCCTCTTCTGGCCTCCAGGTATACATGCAGAAAGAATGTTGTATACATAATAAATAAATAAAATAAATAAATATTTTTTAAAAAAAGGTAAAGTCTTTAAAGAGACAGAGTACAGTCATTGATTAAAAGGATTAAAGAAAAATAAGCCATGTAAAGATGGAAAATTCACAGAGAGTCTGGATTATGGATACTATTGTGTTTTCTTTGAATTTTTTGACTGTGAAGGAACTAAGTACAGAGAGACATTTCATTGTATGGTCTGCTAAGCTAAGCCAGAATGTATATTATAAAGGTATCTTGACTTCAGAATTTGGGCCTAAGGATATATAGCTTTGAAAAAGAGGTTCTTCTTTTGTTTCCACAGAGGATGAGAATCTGTGGATTAATTCCAGATTAAAGAGGTTTGATTCACCAAGACCCCCTGAAAGGTCGCCAATGAACACCCCCAAAAAGAAAAATACTTTGCCCAACAAACAACAGGAAGTAGTTTGAAGAGAACTATGCCCATATTCCCAAATATTGTTTCCCAGCAACTACATGGTGGCTCACAACCATCTGTAATGAGATCTGGTGCCCTCTTCTGGCCTGCAAGTATACATGGAGGCTGAACACTGTATACATAATAAATAAAAAGTTAAAACCTTCCTTTTCATTTAAACAGAAAAAGGGAGGTGATGTGGGATTCCCCTCTGTATGCTGTGAATATCATTGGTTAAAAAAGAAACTGCCTTGGCCTGATAGGGTAAAACTTCGTTAGGTATGGAAAACTAAACTCAATGTTCAGAGAAAGAAGGGCGGAGTCAGAGAGAAGTCATGTAGCCCCGCCAGAGACAGATGCTGGGAACTTTACCCAGTAAGCTACAGCCACGTGGCCATACACAGATTACTAGAAATGTGTTAAATTAAGATGTAAGAGTTAGCCAATAAGAACCTAGAGCGAATGGGCCAAGCAGTGTTTTAAATAATACAGTTTCTGTGTGATTATTTCCAGTGTGAGCTGCCAGGCAGCCAGGAAACAAACAAGCGGCCTCCCTTCAATAGGTGCTGGTTGTGGGTCACGGCGCACACCTTAAATCCCAGCATTTAGAAGGGCAGAGGCAGGCGGACCTCTGTGATTTTGAGGCAAGTTTGGTCTGCATGGTGAGTTCTAGGACAGCCAGGGCTATGTAGAAAGACCCTGTCTCAAACACACAAACAACAAAGCTCTAAAGAGCAGAGGGTATAGGTGTGAGAATCTGTGGCTAATTCCACAAGTAAGGCAGAATGCGTGCTGGCCAAGGTGGTGAGCAAGTGGAATCCCAATGCTGGGAAACTAGCCAGCCAGTCTAGCCTAACTGACAAGTGCTTCCGGCCAGTAAAAGACGTGTCTCAAAGGAGGCAGGTGGCCTTCTAGGCGTTTCCCAAGCTTCCACTCCTGCACATACATATGTGCTTGCACATACATGTATACACATATAGACACACCAAAAAAAAAGGTAAAAAGAGAAAGAAAACAAGGAAGATGGCAAAAGAAGGCAATTAGCAATTCCAAGGGAAAAAGTACAAAAACCAATTTACCATGTGGTTCACTTTTGAATACAAACACAAACTTCAGAATGTAACCATTCAATCTTGATGTAGCCAAAACTCTAGTGAAAACAGAACCATCTACAGGGCTGGGGCTACGACTCAGTTGTAGAGAGAACCTGCCTAGCATGATCTGATTCTCAGCATAAACTAGATGTGGAGACACACACCTACAACCCCTGCATTTACAAAGTTGGAGGGAAGAAGGATTGGAAATTCAAGGACACCTCAGGTACATAGCAAGGGTGAGGCCACCTTGAGGTCCTGTCTCAAGAAGACAAAGACAGAAGCAAAACCACTGTTGGGGTTGGAGGGATGGCTTTGTGGTTAAGAGCACTTACTGTTCTTGTAGAAGACTGGAGTTCAGATAGCAGCACTCATATCAAGCAGCTCACAATTGACTGTAGTTAGCCATCCAGGGGATCCAACGGGTACCCTGGGTCTCTAAGGACACACACACACACCACACACACGCACTCGCGCATTAAAAAAACACAAAAACTTGCTGGGTATAGTATAGATAGATCTTCACGACTCTGAGGCCAGATGGTCTACATGGTGACATAGGAATTCCAGGATAGCTGGAGCTACATAGCGAGATTCTGTTTTGCTGTGGGAATTCATTTAGTTGATAGCTTTTGGGGTACTGCCTTAGGATGTGGTCTGAGGTGCTACGTGTGGACTGATAAGCTGAGAGAAGCTTTCTTGGGAGGTCTGTGGTTGGTCGCCTCTCCCCAGTGCAGAGCGGCAGGACAGCGGGTTGCAGCTGGTCTGTTATTCCGTGAGTCTGTTTCCCTCTGAACCCCATTTCCTTTGCATCCCCATAATATAGGCAGTTTGTACTTCTCCCTTTCTGTCTTAAAAAAAAAAAAAAAAAAAAAAAAAAAAAAAAAAGGAGCTGTCTAAAAAAGGGGGAGGGGTATTTTGTTTTTAGAGACAGGAGTTCTCTGTAGTTTTTGGAGCCTGTTCTGGAACTCGCTCTGTAGACCAGGTTGGCCTCGAACTCACAGAGATCCTCCTCTGCCTCCCGAGTGCTGGCATTAAAGGTGTGCGCCACCACCACCTGGCTTTTTAAAAAAATCTTATAATAAACACAATTTAAAAAAACTATAGAGAAGACATCGGACAGGAACGGCCCAAGCTTTATATTAGGGATACAGCAGGAAGTGGAAAATCACTAAATGGAACTCAAGCGTGGCTGGTTGTGGTGGCACAACACCTTTAATTCCCAGAACATGGGAGGCAGAGGATATCTGTGAGAGTTCCAGGCCCATCTCAAAAAAGCAAAAACCTCCATGTTAGTTTTATATGTAATCGTGTGGACATCTGTAAACAGCACAGGTGGAGGGGCACACTCATCCACGAAGGCGCTGGCTTCCTCTCACTCACTCTAAAACCCACTAAGCCTGGTAGCCCTTGGGATGGCTAAGGGTTACAAGTATCACCGAAGTATAGTGGGGACAGAGCAGCTTCAGGACGGACCTGCAGCCAGGGTGGATGGGAGACCAGCTGCAGCCACCCATACCCAGATCCTGACCCTCTCTCGGCAGGCAGACAGATGCAAAGCCTGCAGCCAGGGTGGATGGGAGACCCATTGCGGGCATCCATACCCAGATTTTGGCCCCTCTCTCCACAGATGGATGCAAAGCCCATACCAGGGTGGATTGGAGGTAGGAGATGGGGACCCTGTGGCAGCCCTCAGCAGGGAAGGAAGATTGGCCTGTTGCAGGTTGGGGGGCCACGTAACAATGGCAAACCCCCCTTAGTCTTCCAAGCAGGGGCCCCATCTAACAAATCCTGTTTTCCCACCCCTGCTCACCGTCTGACCTGAGAGGTCCATCAGCTTTGACCTGGGATCCTAAAGCACGTGAGGCCCCATGCAGAGGGCACAGGTACCGGGAAGTCCCTCAAAAGCCCTCCCAGGGTTTACAATGGACTCCAGCTAGCACTGAGTACAAGGCAGGGACTCTTGGGGAACAGAGAGGCAAACCACATAGGCCTAGGGGGCTGGGGTCAGTGGGGAAAAAGGCGGGAGAACCCACAGGCCAATACAGAACTGATCCACTTGTTAGGAGCCCAGTTATAAGGCTCTGATGCATTCCAGGGGCATTTAGGTATGTTCAAGAGCTGTCTGGTACTGAGCTCTCTACACTGGGATAACCTCATCAAGAGGATCCATGGTGACTGACAGTAGCGACAGGTACTTAGCCTGGGAAACCACATGAGAACTGAGCACTGAGAGGCTGGGATATGACAGTTCAGATCAAGGTCATATGTGTGGCACCAGCCCCGTTGGAGTCCAAGCCCATTACCTCTGCAGGAAAAGCTGGGCGACCCTCAAGTGCTCTAGTGCACCTGGACTCGAATCAACACCACTAGGAGGCAGGATGTTCTCAGGTTAGGACTTTGCTTGATCCCTTCCAGTCCTGACAATGGGAGGCAGATTGGGTAACCCACAGCCTAGGACACTGAGCCTCTGAAAACAGACTCACAGGCCCCAGAGAACTAACAATGCCAAGTCATGGGGGATGGCTTGGCACCTCCGACAGCTATTTCGCACTGCCCTGTATTGCCTGTACCTCCCTGAGGAGACTTGCCTTGCCCAACCCACACCCAGGAGATGTCTCTGGGGGCCACTTGAGCCCCGGAATACCCTTCTGGGAAAGCATGATCCTGAAATAAATTCCACTTTGGCATCTTCTCAGGACCAGGAGCATTCCAGGGCTGCTTCCAGGACTGAAGGTCAAATGCAGTCAGGCCTCTCCTGGGCCCAGCAGCTGCCCCAGGACAGCAGAGGAGCCCATGCTCCTCACAGCCGCAGACCAAGCCAGCAGCTCCAGGTGGCTAACTACATTCGGGCTCCACAGGAGGGGAGGGCAGCCTGGATGATGTGAGGAGTTGGTTTTACCACTTAAAAGACTGCAGGGGGCCAGGGGCTCACAGGGCCTGACAGACTGTTAAGAAGCCACGTCCAGTGCCACCAGCCTTTATTCACAGACCCTCAGTCTCCAACACAGACACCTGGATTCAAGAGGGCACAAAAAAGGGGGCCTTGGTGATCCTCCCAGTACACCCCAGAAAGCCAGGACAAGCCTGGCAGCACCACTCCTTCAAGGTCAGCCTTAGTGCCCCTGCTCAAGGGCACTGCTGGGCCACAGGGCTACAGGTACCAGGAGACCAGGTCTGGTCGCCAGAGGCCCCTTCAGGAGCCAGCACTGTCCTCGGCTCAGAGCTGATTCCACTCTGAAACTGAGGCAAGAGAGGGGCAAGACGGACAGTGGGGATGAGGGGAGCTCCCCAAACATCCAGGCTCCACGGAGAGAGCCACACTGGATGCAGGTGGGATTGCACAGTCCTGATTTCTGGTCATTCGAGGTCCCAACAGCCGAAGAGAGGTCCCTTTTTTCCTTTCTGGCCATCGGTGGCCAGGAAGGAGAGGCGCGAGGCATGGCAGGTAACAGCAGAGAGGGCTGGGTAGGCAGGGCCAGGTGCTACCCAAGATGCAGCTGGCAGGGAAAGGGACAAGGGCTGACATAGCCAGACCCCTGTTCCCCCAGTGACAGGGGCAACTTGAGACCCTGGAGAGGAAAGGAGGGGCCTTGGTCACCAATCCTGCTGGCTCTGGGGATTACAGCCCACTAGAGCACCCCCACCCCACCCCCAGGAGCAGAGGAAACCAACATCAAGTGCACCCTGATCTTCCGGAGGCCAGGGGAGGGGCGCCAGGCACTCTAGGACTTCTTGGCATCCTGCGTGTTCCGGCGCTTCAGGTCACTCAGGTCAATGGGCTTGAAGGCTGTCAGGGGACAGTCTGGTTGGTGCCCGGAACAGAACCCCACCCGGTCTCCACGGCACCAACCGAGGTGCCTTGGGAAGGGAGCAGTGCAGCTCCCCAGGGTCCACCCCACTCACTCTTCAGGCTGGGGTTGGGAACCTTCTCCACATACTCCTCCACTAGGCCCCGCTCTCCACCAGACAGCTGGCTGCGCAGGTCTCGTTCAACACCCTGCCAGGCTGCGACAGGACAGTGGGTCAGAGCTCGGCAGCACTCAGTCCACAGCACATGTGCAGAGGGCCTGCCCGACGCTGGGCCAAGCAGACGGCTGTCTCCTTCCACAGTACCCATCCCACCTCCACCAGCTTCCCTGTCAGTTGAAGGTGTCCTGCAGAGCCCTCTGCATCCGCTTCTCCCGCCCATCCCTCCTGTGCCATGGCCTCCTCCAGCTACAGAAGGACACACACATGCCTTAGAGGGTCCCATCCAGTCCCACCTCCCGGTGTGTTTGGTTCCAATGTCAACCACACCACACTGTGTTCACAGCTATTTACTCTCCCAAGGAAGCTTCTAGGCCTGAGGACCTCTCCTGGCTCCAATCACCACCCACGCCTTTTCTTGGACTGCCATCGCATGTCCCTCTGTCGCCAGTCCTGCTGGCCCCTGAAGAGTGTGCAGTCCTCACTGCAGGCCTGCTGTCTGGGACCAGACCAGCGGGAAGACCCACAGCGGGAAGCAGAAGCAGAGCACAGGCACCAATGCACCAACCTTCGTAAATGAAGCGCACATTCTCCTCGTGTGCTGGCGTGAAGATCTCGCTGCTGTTGGTGGGGGAGCGGGGACTGCTGTTCCTCTTGCCGTTGTAGACGACTCTGGAGACAGGCGAGCTGGGGGAAGCTCCGGTGTGAGAAGAGATAGTGGGACATGTGTGATCCCAACCCCCACATACAAACTTAACACCCACCTGGTCATCGCTGGGTGTCTGGTCCTGGTGCTTGGCTGCTGAATCCTGCGGCCTATAAAACAGAAACCCAAAGCACTGGAGATGTCACCCTTCCAGCAGAAAAAGCAACAACCTCTGTGGCCCTGAGTCCATGGGGACCCTTAGGCTTGAGTTGTCAGTGGCTCCAAGCAATCCTGAACAGCTATGGGGGGTCAGTGTCAGTCAAGCAATCTTGAACAACTATGGGGGTCAGTGTCAGTCAGGACATGAAGGGCACAACAGGCCACACACTGCTTAATTCAGCCACTGAGGCCATGCGCTCAGCCCCATCTCGCACCCACTCCTGTCTTCAGTCTGCAGACCTTGCATAGGAGAGCACAGCAGACCCCAGCTCTGCCCCCGAGGGCTACTAGGACTCAGTGCATTCTTCTGCAAAGCCTAAGACTCGGCTTCCCCGCTGCCCGTGGGAACTGCACCATGAGAAAGCCAGCTTTCCTGAGCTCAGGGACATTTGACCAGTGACCCCAGGAACTCTAGAGAACCAAAAACAAAGCAGACCAGGAGGAAGACATCCATGGAGGGAGCAGCCAGGCCTGGTCCGACCCAGTGACCAGAACCTGGGGTGCAACCTCTTTATAGGCCAGAGGATTTTTGCTGCTGAGTGGGTAGGGTATCTATGTTTAGGGTCAGAATCTCATAATTAACCACCTGAGGACACACAGTCCAAGACGAGAAAACCAGTCATACAAGGTTAGTTCTAAGCCTGGCCTTGGTCCAGGTAGGGCAACCCCAAATGTGAAGAGGAAGGAGACCCAGACAGTCCCAAACATGCCACACCAGGCTTTCCCAAAGGCTCTTCTATGGTCAGTGAGCCGTCATTAACTTTTCAGATGGGCGGACACCTCAACAGCATCACGTCAGCTCCTCTAAGAGCTCTCCCTGAACATGGCTCCCCACCTCTACTGCCAGTCCAGGACATCAAGCACAAGGAAAGCCCTCTGAGGTGTGATGGCGACAGACAGGACACAGCAGGGCAGCGCTCGGGGCTAACCCCAGTCTTAGTTCCAGACACCAAGCATCCTTTTTCTGTCATTGCTGCTCAGTAGTGCCTGTCCCCCAGGCCACCACTCTCGGCTGCCTCTCCTACCCATGCTGCCTCAGGCTCTGGTGGTCACATCCTCCAACGCCCTCTGACTGGGTGCTCCAGCCTTGCTGGCAGCAGGCTTTATGTTTGGTGAAGCAGAGAAACCTGAGCATATTTCCTGGCGAGGAATGAAGTAATATGATACCAAGCGAGCAGGGTCTCTAAAAAGGCTGAATGTGCTGGGATCCAGCACCAAAGCGGGGACAATGGACTAATAATGGCAGAGTCTGCAGAAGTACCATGGATGTCTACAAACTTTAACACACTGCAGGGTCTCTGAGATCATAGACTACTGCCCAGCAGTCCAGGTAAATGGGGTGGAGTCTAACAAAGGGTATCCATTGTGAGTGAGCAGCCAGGGAAAGAACCCTACCACACAAGAATCATGCAGTATCCAGGCCTCTACACCCTAGGCTCCCACTAGGACGACAGCAGGGACAGAGGTCGGGCAAGGCCACCCGAGCTCCATGCCCAAGACTTCCTAGCCCTGCTTTTCTTCTGTTACAAGTGTCTCAGTGCCCCAGCCGTATGTCCCTCAGTCCATCAACTCCACAGTACATTTTAGGTTTTTTTGCTATTTGTGTTTAAAGACAGGCTGGCCTCAAAATCACCGTGTAGTCAAGGCCAGCCATGACCTCCTGGTTCTCCTGTCTTCAGCCCCCAGGGCTGGAACTGCAGGCATAAACTACCACTATGCCTGGCACAGTCCCACAACCCCTTTTCTCTGTATCTTTCAAAGTAGTTGTCCCAATAATTCCGAACATCAAAGTCTATAACTCTGGGGCCTTGTGCACGCTAGGCAACTGTGCTACCTTAGGTGTAAACTCTTCCTTCTTCTGAGACGGATCTAATTTGCCCAGGCTGTCTTTGAACTTACTGTTAACTAAACAGGCCATGGACTTGCAATCGTCCTGCATTGGCCTCCTGAGTAGCTAGGCTACGAGTCTGCGCTACCACCATGTTCCACTGTGTGTGTAGACACACTTTTTGGGTTTTTTTGTTGGTGGTGGTGGTGCTTTTTTTGTGTGTGTTTTCTTTTGTTGAGGGAACTCATAAAATAAGACACAACTAACAATGATGGTATCTCAGATGTGATGATCCTCAGTGACACATCCCTACCTGTGTCCCTGCCCTCCTCTGACCTGCACACCCGTCCCTGCTGCCCCAGCTTCCCCTGGCTCCACTGTAGACTTAAGTGGCAGCACAGCTTCCAGACACTTCTCAGCCCTGCTCAGGGGAACCACTTGGGCTGTGCATTGTCTACAGCTCTTGGTCCACTTGGGCTGTGCACTGTCATACAGCTCTTGGTCCACTTGGGCTGTGCACTGTCGTACGGCTCTTGGTCCGTGTGCTTCTCCTGTGTCACCAGCTACTATACCACAGCCCCCAGAGCAGTCAGGTGTAAACTTGCTTCCTGCTGAAAGACTACACCTCCCAACTTCCCTTGCGACCATGGAAGTACAGTCCGGCTCTATAAGGGGCCACATCCCACCTTCCTCTCCAGGCATTTTGGCCATCTGCACAGCTGGGTACAAAGCGCTCTCCATGAATAAACACGGTCCCACCTAAGATCAGACCAAGTCTTTCTTTCTCCCTCCAGTTTCTCTACAGCCGCCTTTTAAAAGTCCTACTCCCTCATCTTCTGTCCAATCCCCCGGGGTCACAAGTACCCTGGACAGAGGTCCTCCATCCCCTCTCCCAGGCCTCAAGACAAGGGCTTTGGCTTCCCCTCTGAAAGGGAAGTGGTCACCACGGACAGTTTACCAGGTCCTCCTGCTCCAACGAATGCATAGCCACCTGAAGCCTGGATCTTCAGCCAACATGGTAATGGACATGACAGAGCCGTACTGCACCATCCCAGTGGAAACTAATAACTAAAGGGATTCTACAGACCGCTGGGTATGAGACAGATGTGGTGTCAGCTCATACTTAAAACAAGGTGGAGATCCAGGGGCTGAGAACCGCACACACCACAACAGACCCTTGCCAAGGGAGGACTATAAGGCAGTCCCTGGGCTTGGAACTTTATATACTATCCGTGTTCCTATCACAGCTAGCCAGGAAGAAGACATCTGGTGATCCTATTACAGAGGATGAAGCAGCTGTCACCTAGCAGAGGTGCTCTCCCAGCCCCCTCCCAACCCAAAGCCTTCAGGGCTACAGCAGCTGGCCGGGGTGCTGGATGCTGATTTTCCCTGAGCTTGCCTCAATTACTGTCTGCATGCTACATCAGGTTCCTCTCCGATCTGAAATGCCCGCTTCCCAGTGACACCATGCGGGTCTGCTCACAGTCCTCTATCCCACGGGAGTTCTTATTGAATGTGTTTATTCTACACAGAACCATTAGTTTCTAAGAGACCCAAGGCCTTCAGGGACTTCCTAGAAGGCAACGTGGGGAGACAGGACAGGCTGCAGGGGGATCCAAAACTCACTTCAACTTTTCTAAACACATTCAATATGCCAGGGGCATGATGCTAGGTGGCAGTCATACTTTGCTGCCCAAGAAAGTGACAACGGGGGTGATCAAGGGTGCAAAGACTGGTCACTCTTGTTCTTTTGGAATTTCTGCTATCCGAACTTTGTTTTCTTCCTTCCACTCCCCATCCCTTTTAGAAAAAGAGATCTCATATCGCTCTGGCTGGTCTTAAATGTCTGATACTCCTGAATCTACCTCACCAAGTTCTGGGCTTGCAGACAGGTGACATCACTCCCTGCTTCAAATTTTCTGGTTCGTCCTTCCACGTCTTGTATCCTTTACAGATTATGAGGCCTTTACTTAATGACTAGCCAGACAAGCAGGGGACGCTGTGCTGTGACTGGTTGGGTCTGCTTCTGGATGATGACCTAGAATGTCAGGTGTAGCCTCTTCTTTCCCTGGACTAGCAAACTACAATATTCCCAGGCCCCTCATTCTGGAGGACCTGGCTCCTGCTGCTCTCCCGTCGTGTGTGTGTGTGTGTGTGTGTGTGTGTGTGTGTGTGTGTGTGTGTCCCTCGCTGCCCTAGACACTCCCCAGCCAGAAGTTCACAGCTGATCCTAACTCACTGGAGACCTTGGCTTGAGCTTGTCCTCTGCCTGAAAGGTGGCATCCAGAGGAACGATCACCCCAGAACCAGGACTGCTTTTGTCAGCAGGGGCACGGGACTTCCGGCCACCATCCACCCCGTCCACCTTGCGGACTAAGAACGGACAGGCCCTGGACTTGCGCAGAGCCACTGCACCTGCACAAAAGCGATGTGGGCAGGGCAGGTAACGAGCAAAGACACGGGCGCGGGTTGGGGGGCCGGGCCTGCGCTGCCCAGAAGCAGGAAGAGCCCTCGGGGAGGTTGGCCCGGGACTGCAGGCGTCGTCTCCCCGCGGGAGGCCCGACAAGAGAGGCTCCTCCGGGCTGCTGCCACGTCCGCACCCCGCGGCGACACCGGCCTCGTCTCTGCCCCGCGCTGGCCGGGCGACCCAGCGACACCAGGGTGGGGCGGGGCGGAGCGGTCAAGGTCCCGCGG